GTTGCCCGTTTTAAAAGTGAATACACGCAACTATAAGCAACTATGTCGTTAAAACAAGTGGTGTAAGAGAATGTTTTCAGTGACTAAAAGATTGTATTATCTGTTAGTTTTATTCCCATCGATTTTTTTCGCTAAATCCTTTTACATCATCTCATCTTGTTAATGTCACTCGAATCAAGTGGAACATTCTTCTCCATAGTGAGAATTTGAATGAAAATGTTTGGTACTGCAATATACTAGCAGTTGCCTCATTTGCTCAGTCTAGGGCCCAGTGAATCGACTTTTAACGTCGATGAACCTTACTTGTAATCTACTTATTTTAAGAAAAGTGTTTTAGTACAGTTGTAAGTCATAAAATGTGAAACTCTTAAGTATTGTAGTTTCTAACAGTAGAAACGTGTACTTTAGTCTGTTGCGTCTGCATGTAGTAATACTACGAATGAAAGAAGAACTCCTTCAAACTTTTTATCTAATAATCCACAACAGCTGACGTTCAACAACATACAAACTTAGTTTTGTGTATTTTTCTTCCACAATGATATAATCTCTTAATTAAAATTGATAATTTTGATCTTGTCGTATTTTAAATCATTAATCAACGGAACTCGAAGACTTCTAAATTTGCATAACTATTCTGCTGCCGATAACACGGCAAGATGAGCTACGAACTTTGTTTTTTATGCTAGGCTTCATAGTTTTAGTTTTCTTAATAACTAGATATTAGCATAGTTACATGAGGTAACACATGGAGAAAAATGAACAGCAAAATGGAATATTTTTGCGACATGATTGTAGCAGAGGTCTGAACTGAAGTCATTAGCAATTGAGATCGCCTGTGAGTCGGATAAAGCAGTTCAGAAAAATGACCTCCAAAGTTCGAGACAAAGTCTTTACTTCACACCGAATATAATATTTTGTGGCTGCCTAAATTTTCTTGATCATATTGAACACTTCGTCATATTGTGAGACCTGATTATAGTATGAGCAAGGATGTGCTCAACATTTGGAGCTATCATTTAGATGGCAACAAGCAATTTGTCAATGAAACACTTTTGCGCTCATATCTCTGGACCGCTAAAATCGCTAAAATCGCTACAACCGAAAAAGTTTGTTAGCTCGATCTCTGCAAGATTAAAATGTGAAACACAATATAGCAATTGATTCTAATCCCATGAAACTTGTTTTTTTCCATTTCTTTTCGGGCACGCTTCTTCGTAGTCGTTTCTAAATATTCTCGAACTGCGATACGCAAGAAGTCCATCTATTCTAATATGGCATTTATGATATACGGTTCACGATGATCTCTGAAATCCTCCTGTCACTTATGTATGTGCGAGGGGGAGAGATTCGAATCCCTACCTTATATACTCAAAAATCCTTTCGGATTGTGTCACAAAAATCTTCTAGCTTCAATGCGGTAGAGATTGTTGGAAAAAACGATGAAAGTCGCCCGGTACGGTAATGGCTTCAAGCCTGATTGATAGACTCATCTCTATCAATTAATTACATAACTTTTTCTAGAATACTCTACAATCCTCCTCCGAGTCAACTCCTGCTTTCATAATTGTCGATTAAAATCTCGTCCCTACTACAAAAAATCCTTAGAAAGCAATGCTGACAGTTTCTAACGAAGTTCTCACGGTTTTCTATTGATTCCTTAGCTTTTTACTTAAAGATCTTCTTCCGATACAACCAAAAGTGTAAAAAAAGGTTCCTGTCAAGATTCGTAGTTTTCGTTTCAGGAAGAGATTTTAACAAAAACTTCAACGAATCTTTGCAACATGAATTTTCATTCATCCTATTAAGAATTCATCGCCGCATTTGTAACAATTCTAATTGAATCCTGATATTTTTCTTGCTACATAATCACGTGAATTTGCATAGAGTTTTCAAAGACTCGCAATTTTCATTGCTGCAGATCATTTAGGCAGACTCCAAGAGCTATTAGCTGAAAGTAAACATCGTACTACAAGTAATTGCTGAGATTTATATGAAAACTTTGATAGAATCTTTCAAGCATTTTTCGGTGTTTGATGCTGGCATATTCCTTCTTTTTAATGCATAGATCCCCTTCCAAGGCTCATACAAATCATTTTAGCATTTTTATACAATGCTCTGTTGAAGATCTAGATAAAAACTTGGTAATCTCTTTTACTGGAATACATCCTATCCCGTAGGGAAAAGTTTCTGCTTTCAATATCATGAAATATATCCTCAACTAGAATTACAGTAGTAAAAAACAATGCTCTGAAAACCGAAAAACATAGTGTTCCCGAACAGACATTGATAAGAACAATAGTAAGTATTGACAACATTCTCCCTTCTACTCGTGACAAAGGATTTTAGCAAGTAGACCTTAAAAGAATCCCTGCGAATACTCAGTCTTAACTATTAATTAGAGAAAAAGAAAAACCTCGATAGATGTTTGCGAATCACCCATGAATATTTATTAATATCTGTGAGCATGAGTGTGGATGTTGAAAGAGACAATCACTCGTGTCTTTAATGTGATAAGTCCACACCCACACTCACACCCACCCCCGGAGTCTTCCATTATGTTGAATCGTAAACATTTTTCTGAAGGTGAGGGGCAGCCTTGTATTATGCTCTCTTTTTTGTGCAATGCTTACTTTCAAAACGTTTTTTAGAAAACCTAAGCAACTTTGAGGATTCGAAAATGGATTTTCAGGAATTGGCAAGTTCATGCGTAATGTTGATCTCACTGTTTTCAGATTTACTGGTTCAAAATCCTGAAAACTAAGAGTATTTTGGTGTAGATACACCGATGAAAATTCCTAATTTTCAAAAATTTAATTAATTAAAGGGATCTTCTTATATGGAGGGATTGGGATGGTAACAAACTGACAAGGTGATTCTTGCAGTCCAGAGGAATTTTCCAGTATCCTTGACAATGCTTCTACATTACCAGACCACGCTTCTAGCATCCTTCATTTCGCCTTTAGTATTCTGTATAGTGAAGCTTGCGTGCAACATCGCAATTGATCATAATTAGTGAACAATTTCGTAGGATCTCCGCAAAATCCTCAGTGTTTCTATGATATATTTCAAAAATGATTTAATGCTAAAACTAGCAAGCTAAATCCGATAGATTTTAGTCCAAGACCTTATGTAAGAATTTTTAGGTTTTTCTACAATATGATAGATATCAGTAAGAACTTACACCAATGATTTGCAAAGACGGTCGTCTTTACTTTTTTTCGAATGATCAACAGGAAAATTTTTTCAGATCTTTTCATCAGTACTCATCGCTAGGAATTTATAAGTAACGCGACCCTTTTGGTTGCAAAGCACTTTACTGAAAGGAGCATAATGTGGTAAAAGCACAAGAGCATGGTTAGCTTCAGAGTCTTAGATTTCACCCAGTGATCTGTCTGGTGTAGAATCATTGATTGATGTTCATTATGTGATTTGAAAAAATGATATATTGTCATTGTCAACGAGTAGCTGCGTTATAACGCTTTTTCTTTCACAGTCTAGGGGCTATATTAAAACGTAATATTTTATCAGTTTTATTCTCACCCGTTGAATAGCCATAACCGAATAGACCTGAATGATACACAGTCACTTAATTAGTTCCAATGGTTTGAAAGGTTCTTTTTGCAAAAAGTTCTGTTCAGCGGCTAGTCGTTTGTCGGTGTTCCTATGGGGCGCCACTTGCGGCTAGCCGTTCCATTAATATAGTGTACCGCATACGCAGATCCTCATGACCTAAAGAAATCTGCATGACTTTTACCAGCAGGGTTGCCACCTCTTCCGCTTTTTTCGGAAAGTTTCCGTTTTTTTCGTTTTTTCGGATAAAAGACTTTTATGTGGTTCTTCACAATTCGGCATAGAGAAAAGCCTGCTATTGTTCAATAAAACGTGATCACTGAGGTACATGGTTCGTCATCACAGTCATTAGTCAATGTGCTAACTTACTGGAAGAGCATTAAAATGTTTGCTATGAAAGAAGGATTGTTTTCAATTCCGATTAATGAAGTCAAAGCATCATTCTACTTTCAATCAATACCTAAGTTTGGTGATCCATTGTATTTCTCTGCTCCATTGACGCAGAAAAAAGGCATAAATCCGAAAATTTAAACAAATTTCTTAAGACAAATTCATAACCAGAGCATATTTGAGAATGAAAACATTGATGAAAATTGAAGACAGCAACAATAATGCTACAATTAGACAAACATAAAGCTGTATCAAACTCAAGAGATGCATGTGAGTCCATAAATTATCTTCATCCAGATCGAATTTTACTTCATAAAATTATACAAAACTAAAAAAACCGGCAAAAGTGTAGGTTTCTGCTTTTACCATATTTTTCGATGGACTTTCCGCTTTTTCGACTTCATGAGGTGGCAACCCTGTTTACCAGGCTTCTTTGGAAAGACTACTTTCATGAAAATTGAAGAAATACTTCCCCTCTAAAAAATATCCAGTCATCTAGCCAGGAGCCCAATTTGACCGTTGTTTTGCTCATCTCAAGCATTGACTAAGTTGGAAACGAGTGAGATGCAGAAGCTTAATCTAAGGATCTGAAACATGTGTAACACTGTTTCGTAAAAGCTTTTATTCAGAGACTAAACAACTAAGATTTCGAAAAAATTAATCACGGAGTCGAGTTCCTGGAGCCCGATTACTTTCCGTCAAACTTTATAGAGGGTTTCGTGCAGATAAGTCAAAAAAAACATTTAGTTTTGTTCTGTGCGAACGAACGAAATCAACTCATTTCAGCACAAGGTCTTTCTTTCAGCAGAGGGAATGTTTGCAAGCACAAGCAGAACCTTTTTATGGTTTAGAGCCTATTAGCGACGAGATAATTATCCACAGTTGTACCGAATTCCCTTCGAAGGAGAATTTTTTCTTCGCAACTCTTTCTCTTTCGACGATGACGATTCCTTCCCTCGTTCGTTGTAGTGATGCCAAATATTTCTGTCAATGCTCAATGGCAACAAAATGGTACCCCTGTGGCTGGAGGATATGGACCAGGAAATGCGACCAATCAACTCGATTTCCCACTCGGTCTGTATGTTGATGATGATCAAACTGTCTATGTCGCTGATCAGTTGAATCATCGTATTATCCAATGGAAATCGGGTGAGACGAGTGGTCAAGTGGTTGCCGGTGGATATGAAGAAGGAAGTGGAGCTCATCAGTTTTCAATGCCATGCGATGTGATTGTCGACAAAGACACCGATAGTCTCATCATCTGCGATTATTCGAATAGAAGAGTGGTTCGATGGCCTCGTCGAAATGGGACAAGTGGAGAAACGATCATCTCCAGCATCGATTGTGCGGGTTTGACAATGGACGAGAATGGATCTCTCTATGTCACTGACGAGGGAACCTTTTCAGATGATACCCTCCGTTTTGATTCGTTCGTATCTCTTTTAATCGAGTATATTAAGGTAGTAAAAAGCCTAAAGGGATTTTTCCCCAATGTTCTTCCTTCAAAAGTTATGGTCGTTTTATTGAATTTTCGACCCATTCCCAGGTATTTACGAAAAAATCAAAATAGGGAATTGCGACTTGATATTTCGCCCATAGATAGGCCTAATGGTCCTTAGAATATCCTGAAAGTTTCAGCTAAAAAGAATGTTCCTTTCTTGAGATATTGAATTTTCAAAAAATAGTCGCCTGCCACAGATTGGTCACAAAAACCGAGTTCACTTGAAAATTCAATATCTCAAGAAAGGAACATTCATTTTAGCTGAAACTTTCAGGATATTCTAAGGACCATTAGGTCTATCTATGGCCGAAATATCAAGTCGAAATTCCCTATTTTGATTTTTTCGTAAATACCTGGGAATGGATCGAAAATTCAATAAAACGACCATAACTTTTGAAGGAAGAACATTGGGGGAAAATCCCTTTAGGCTTTTCACTACCTCAATATACTCGATTAAATGAGATAGGAACGAATCAAAACGGAGGGTATCATCTGAAAAGGTTCCCTCGTGAGGGTGAAAAACATGAAGTGAGACGATATCGAAGAGGAGAATCTCAAGGAACAGTGGTTGCAGGTGGCAATGGATGTGGAGATCGTCTCGATCAACTCTCTTACCCACGATACGCATTCGTCGATCGAGATCATTCAGTGTACGTATCTGACGGCGGAAATCATCGTGTGTTGAAATTGGTGGAAGGCGCAAAACAAGGCATTGTCGTGGCTGGTGGTCAAGGAGAAGGAAATGGTCTCAAACAATTGTCATATCCTGACGCAGTCGTTGTCGATCAATTGGGCACTGTCTATGTGGCTGATCACGGGAATAATCGAATCATGCGTTGGCCCCAAGGAGCCACACAGGGAAGTGTTATTGTTGGTGGAAACGGTGGAGGAGGACAATCGAGCCAATTCAATGGGCCCTTCGGTTTGTCATTCGATCGACACGGTAATCTGTATGTCGCCGACCACAACAACCACAGAGTACAAAAATTCAACTTGGAATCCAACCATTAAAGAAGAAAAAGAAGAAGGAACCCCTAAAATACCAATAAAGACAAATCATTTGAATAAAGACTAATGCATGTCATTCTGAGTGTGTGTAGAGCCGTGTTAATATTCGTGAGAAAAGCAATAAAATAAAAAAACAATAAAAAATTAAACAAAATAGAGGGCAAGGGAAAAAACAGGGGAGAGAAAAAGGGGGAGAGAGAGAGAGAGAAAAAAGGCAGTTCAAGGGGGTGCATCATAATATGTCCTGAGGGCATGGGTGGGTGTGGGTGTGGGTGTGGGTGGGTGTGGGTGTAGGTGTGGGTGTGGGTGTAGGTGTTTGGTGTGGGTGGGTGTGGGTGTGGGTGTGTGGGCGTGGGTGTGGGTGTGGGTGTGGGTGTAGCTATTGTATTCATTCACACCCACACCCACACCCTTAATGTCAAAAGGCAACAAGGTCTCTACAAATTCGATTATTTTTCAAGATTTTCTATGTATTTATTCTAATCATGATTTAAATCTATGCAACAGCAAATAAACAGATTATGAGACTTTTTTTAAAAATTTTCCAAATCGTTTAAGAATATACGTTTATTCTATATGGAAGGGTGTGACTACGCATTTTTATATAGAAGTAAACTTTGCTTAAAACTACACTCACCCTTATTCACATTGACACCCAAATCATCTCGAAAGTAATAGATCGTAGAGTTTCTTGTAATTTAACAATAATAAAATTTTATTTATCACTGAAATTAAATAAGAAATTCAATAATTTAATCGTGATAATTTACTAAATATCATTATAGTTAAAATATAAAATTGAATGAAAATGAATTTTTCTATTTTTAATTTCTAATATTAATAATAAATTATTTTATTTTAAAATAGATAATCAATTACTAAATTATTTTCAGAAACATCTCATTCTCTATTCATTAAATATGTTATATCATGGTTATAGCAACTTTTATAATCATAAATGCAATTTTCAAGTTTTTTTCAAATAATTATTTTAATTAATTATAATTATCTTTTATTTAAACAGATCAATTATTTGATCATCATAAACAATATGCTAGTAGAACTTTAATAATTGGTTACTCTGATGACTTAATAAAAAATCTTATTTATTGACTTGGTTTAAATATTAAATAATAATCAAAAACAAATAAATACAAGTAAAATAGATTGACACACATGGGTAACATATTTCAATTAATCTTCGACAAATAATGAATTATTTCATTTTCAATGTAAATCGTTGTTTTTTAATATATTGATATGATATATTATTTATATTTTGTTAACAACATCATAATCATAATTTTCTATCAAGTTTATTAAAGACACTTAAAATTATAATTAAATATTCAAATTTGTTTTTCATTTATTATTAATTTAAACTCAAATTGAATTTATAGAAAAAACTTGTGTTAGTCAAGAATTACAAACAGATAAATATTGAGAAAAAAAAATGAAAAAATTTTTTTTACTTTTGTTTTTTTCTCAAACAATAGTTTATTCAACAAATCAACGTTCATATTTTTTAAATTAATGAACAACAATATATTTTAGTAAATAAAATAAATGATGAATTCAATTCAACATCAATGATTAATAATAAAAAACAAACATCCACTATTAAACTTGTTAATTATTTAGATATTTTTTCTGATTATATATACATGACTCAATATATATTGATCATAAATCATCTATTAGTGTTAAATCTACTATACTAACATGTCTCTCCAATGTTTATCAACAATTTAGTCCAATTGGTTATTGACTACTGAAAATATTTTTTAATTCTTATTTGACGCTTTTTTTTGTTCTAAAGTTTCACTTAAATAAAATAGATCTATTTTATGATCGAAAATTATTTCCAATATTGTAACAGTAGGAGAATTTAAGTGAATGGAATCAATCTGGTCAATGAGTTTGTGATAAAGTTTAGTTGATGTCGCATCAATTGGTTAAATAGTCAAAGTTATCTAATAGATATGAAAATTTTATTAATAAATTATTAAAACAAAACTATATGAATCATATTTATTGAAATTTAAAAATTTAAGAATGAAGATTTTTCGATATTTGATTTCATTATCTGTAGTTCTATTCTTACTTTTAATTTGTTTTTTGAAACAAGCAAAAGACAAGAATATTATTAGATTCGAAAGTATATCAATTAGAGCATTTTATTGAAATAGGTTAGAAATACTAAACTTTTTAGAGACCAAAGACTATTTATACATCCAAGATTGAAAATATAGAATCACACAATTATCTAAAAAAACTTTCTAAGTCGAAATTTAAGATATGAGATCAATTGTATTCTCTAAAGAGTCTTAACATATCTTTTATCATTATGTGAATACGGTTAGTTACATTTACGCGGTGTATATGCAAATATACTTGCTAAATTAATTCAAACAACAATTCATCTATAAAACTATTCTTATTATTAAATTCTTTTATTAATCAATGTTGACTTGTATCAACTGATTCCCAAGACAATTCAATATTAGATTCGAATATTTATTGTCTCTAACTTTTTATTAAAAAAAATTTTCTTTTGTTTTAAAACATATTCAATTATATATATTCGATGAATTATTTTCTATACTTCTATTATATTTTAATAATAATAATAATAATGCACGTATTATATATGTTTCATTAAATATTTAACGAACATTATTAATTTAAAGTCATGGATTTATAATTATAGGAATTTTATTATTGAAAGGTTCTATTAAACATAATACAATTTTCTGTATATTTTATAAAATAGATAAAACAAGTTTATAATAATAAGAATTTGTTTGTGTGTATATATGAAATAGTTTATTCTAGCTCAATTTATAAATGATATTGATTTTTGAATATTAATTTATATTGAAAAACAACAACAATTAAAATAAAATTAACCTGATATCATTGGCGTAACCAGTATTTACAAGTACCATGAATCTCTGGTTAATAGTGTGCTGATATAAGCACTCGCTCTATCTTAATTAATGTACATAACGACTCTTTTCTCTATACACACTGATAATATCTATTATGTGTTCAAATTCATCTATCCTGTTTGACATGTGTCTCTCTTCCTTTTTGTCGTGTTCTCT